CTTGTGTCCCTAATATTGATTATAAGGCAAGTATTGCGACTCCAAGTACGGTCGCAATATCAAATAAGAAATCCTCATAGGAATTTACCTACAATTTTCGTATTTGCCTTGAGAATTGAAGAAGGTAATTTCTCCTCTTCAACTATATATATATATATATATATATATATATAATATAATTTCATGTTAATCAAATGATTATTTAGCCAAACAAACATTTGAAACTATATCTAATTACATTCAACTACACTCACATTAATAATAAAATGGATCTCCAAACATGTTCTAAAAGATTAACTAGAACTTACTCCTCCACTTCATATCACTTGATCCTTATCGACCTGACACACTCTTTAAGAAAGCTATTATTTTATATAGTTATTTAATACTATGTTAATACAAAAAAAAGTAATAAAAGTCTTTTGATTTGTTGAAATGAATAAATAAAGGAAAAATTGTATAAAATAGCAAACTATTAATTAATTCAAATTAAATGCTATAACCACAGTTTGATTTAATTGTAACCCGTAGCAAACTATTGCCATTTCGCCTCTCTCCCTGAATTTCTCGCTCGCCACTCTCGTTTCTCGCTGGGCAATCTCTCCTCGCCTCTCTCACTTTATACAATCACAAATGTCTAAAATGCGTTTGTCTTTGTATAAAGCGAGAGAAAATTGTATATATACATATCTTTTCGTTCCCCTCTCTCCCATCTCCCAGATCTCGCTCGTCACTCTCCCAGATCTCACTCGCCACTCTCACTTTATACAAACACAAATATATAAATTGCGTTTGTGTTTGTATAAAGCGAGAGAAAATTGTATATACAAATACATATATTTTCGTCCTATACACTTATGAGTATACAAATACAGGTCTTCCCCTGCCCAGTTTTATTTTGTCGTTCTCTCTTTCTCACTTTATACAAACACAGATTATACAATTGATTCTTTTGTATATGTATACCGAAACAGATTATACAATTGCTTCTTTTGTATGTGTATAAATATACATATTAATAGCCATAACAAACATAAAGTTTGTTATGAAGCGCAATTATGCAAACTATAGCTATAGCATTCAAATATGATTTTTATATTTGTTATATGTGAAAGTTGCTCATAAATAAAATGAAACACTAACTTTTTTTCACTAGGGCAAAAATAAAATAAAATGGAGTGAGTAAAAGGGTGTTTAAAAGTGGAAACGTGCACCACTAAATGTAATAAATCAACTTCTTAATTTCGTTACGCAATCACTTTAATTTATAATTCAACCTTACAATTAACACTCATATCGACATCCATCTACTCTTTAAGATAGTCCTTAATATATTGTTACAAAATAAGTCAAAATCTACTTTCTACCATCAGTGGTGGAGCCGGGATTTTCAATAAGAGGTTCAAAATCTAAAGAAGACACACACGAACTAGCTGAAGGGGGTTCGACATCGACTATATATACACAAAAATAATTTTAACCATGTATAAATAGTAATATTTTCCGCCAAAGAGGGTTCAGATGGACCCCCCTAACAATATGTTGGCTCCGCCCCTGTCCCCAATATAGAGTTTATTGTGGAATCATAAAATACATACAAATATGCTACTGTATGTATTTTGTATATATTTATATACAATGTGTATGCTACTGTATATTCATTGACTTGGGAGAGAGTGAGAGAGATTGGGCCGTGGGCGGGAGAGAAGGGAGACGAGTGAGATTTGGGAGAGAGAGAGGCGGAGAGAGAGAGAGAGAGAAAGAGGAGATGCTAGAGAGGATACATTATGTTGATATAAATTATATTTTCGTTGATATAACTAAATACAATCTGATATATACAAGTTGATATTGGTTGTATTTGATAAATACAGGATCAACAAGCTGATACATAGATAAGAGATGAGAGATGCTAGAGAGCGGATGAATACATGTTTATATACGTTGTATTCAATAAAATACAAATCATATCAACAATTACAATAGGATGTATTTGATATGTACATGTTGATACAGTTGTATCACTTGTATCCATTCACTTTTGTATCGCTAGGATACGGGATAGGACAACTATAAAAGATGGAATAAAAGATAAAATAGACTTATTATATAATAAGTAAAGATAAAATGAGTAAAAAAAGTAATGGTTGATCACACCAAATCAATCATTACATAAAATGAGACTTTTTGTCATTGTCAAACGATATATTTTAACGATATAGTAAAATTTAAGTAATAATCAAAACAAATAATGCATTTAAACTAACAACACAATAATATAGGTAACAATCATCCAAACACACTATAAAGAATGTGTAAAGAAGAAACTAAACAACTAATATACAACAGAAAACTAAAATATATTTTACACTTATCTTACTACAAATATATCGAGTTTAATTCGATTTAGTTTTAGTTTAGGCTAGCTCTTTGATCCTTTTTCCTTTTTATTTTTATTTTTTGCGCTGAATTAATAGATCTGAGGCATAATAACTATTATTGGTGATATGGAATTAGTACATACTATGAGTGTATAACATGAATTTTTGTTTGCCTGAAATTGGAAGATGATGTAATTAAATTTGTTAAACCATATAGTAATTACCATTTATGGACCAGTTACATATTTATGGGTGAATACTCAATATAGACATTAAGAATTTTGTAGTCACATACCAGTAGTATATATCCTTACTACTTTCAAATCTTTGGTCCGCCTTTGCTTAAGAAGGGTAGAGTTGTTCATACCTTATTTTGAGGTTATTTTGATAAATCCTCAATTTAAATTCTTATTGTACATAGTTATGCCTTTAAAATAAGACTTTCGTCTTAGGCCTCCAAATTTAAGAGACCTCATTTTTTAATAATGATAAAATTATTATACGTTTTATTTTTAAAAGAAAATTTTTGTCATTTAAAACTGATATACCCCTCGTTACAAAAGTGGCTCATATATACCTTATTGTTACACAAATGGCTCACATATACCCTTTTCCTCTAATGGAAGTGAAAAAATACCCATGTAGGGATATAATTTATCCTTCTCACACGTTTTTTTTTACTTTTTTAATTCAATGGCTAATTTGAATTTATTATTTTGATGGTCAAATTTATTTTTTTCACTTATTTTCTTATAATTTTTACTATAGATATCCTAAAAAAAATTATAGATATAAATACTAAATTAATTACACTAGCAAAAAAAATAGTTTTACTTTTTTTTTTCATTCACACATCTTTCTTTTTATTTCTCTTATTTTACACTAAAGAATGGAAGAAAAATTGAAATAAAAATAAGAAACTCAAATAATAATAATAAAAAAAAATAAAAAAATAATTTATGTGTGAAAAAGGTCAAATATATATATAAAAAATTAATTATTAAAATCAAAAAAATAATTGAAAATTAATTTTATCACTTTTGTAACGGTAGGGACATATCTGAGCAACTTTTGTAACGGTGAGGGCAGTGGCGGAGCTAGGATTTTTAATAAGGGGGTTCAAAATCTAAAGAAGTAAACCACAAACTAATCGAAGGGGGTTCGACATCTACTATATATACATAAAAAATAATATTAACCATGTATAAATAGTAATATTTTCCGTTGAAGGGGGTTCGGATACCCCTAACTCTATGCTAGCTCCGCCCCTGGGTGAGGGGCATATGTGTGCCAATTTTGTAATTGTAGGGGGGCGCATATAGGGGTGTACAAAATCGAACCAAATCGCAAATTGAGTCAAACCGGTCGGACTAGTGGTTTGGTTTGGTTTGATATTGAAAAAAAAAAACCCGACTATATTTGGGTTGGTTTGGTTTTAACTAAAAAAAACCAACCCGAAACCAAACCAACCCGACATTATATATATAATTTTAAATTTTTATTTTATACATAAAAATATTTACTTTGATATAATTTTTAAATATTTCTTGTACTTTTTTTTTTATAGTTTTTATTCATTAATATATTATTTCAAGTTTGAAACTTAGAATTCTAAATGGTCCAATAAAGATTATAGTCCACAAATGTTGGTAATTATAATAAAGCTTAATCAAAATCAAATTAATACTAATGCAAAAAGAAAATCAATTCAACACTAAGAACGATAATAATATTGAATATTTGTTCTTTAGTTTTACATTGGTTTAGACAATAAAAATACATAATCTAATTTTAATTTCCTTTAATATTTAGTCATCTAACTAATACTTATTAAACTTATTTTAGCATGATTTAGTACTTTTAAATTATGATCATTTTCATTATGACTTGTTAATTTGCAATATTTGTTTTATGCGATTTCATGATTATTATTTTTGTTGGATATTTTAGTGTCATTAATCATATCATATTTTGTGTTATTTTTTTTAAGAAACACCTTAGATAATTGTATTTTGGTAGGACTAAAGAAATATTTGAAGTACAAGTAAATTATATGTTTGTATCAATACTTTATCGAAAAAACCCGAAACAACCTAAAAAATCCAAAAAAATCCGAGGTTGAAAAATTAAAGTTTTATTGGTTTGGTTTATAAATTTAAAATCCGACACAAATGGTTTGCCTTTCAAAATATTTTCAAATTTACAAATTACTTTGCATCTTAAAAAATTAGAAAAATCTGATATTGAATAAAAATATTTAAAAAAAATTAAAAATTAAAAATCTCTAATTCATTTTTGGTCTTGGCCACTGATGTGATTGAGCGCGCCCTCCCATACACGTTTCTTTAGCAAGTATTTCATTTTTGGCACTAAAAGTCATACATATTCAGCCCACGTTTATTTAGCAAGTATTTCATTTTTGACACTAACAAGTAACATCTCATAAATAAATAAAAACACATGTTTAACCATGCATCTAAATTTAGCAAAAAAAAACAAAATCAACCATAAAACTACGAATTATATCTTAATGAAAGTAATTATCATAACACAACAACTATAGAGCTTAGAGTAGCAAAACACATTAAATAAAACCAAAATTAACGCAAACTAATCAAATTACAGAAAAACAGCTGCCGCAATCAAACTGATAAAAACCCCAAACAGAACATTTGATGAGCTCACATCCACTGCAGCCGCCGATGCCGCCGGCGCCGGAGCTGGTGAAGCAGATTCCGGTTGAGGAGCCGGGGTGACCACCGGAGAACTCGCCGGCGATGGAGATTTTTGGTGATTCGGCGACATGACAACTACTAGAACCTTCTGGCCTTTCTCACAGTTATCGTCTTTTCCACTGATGAAATAAAATCGGCCATTTCTTGTAAATTTCAATCTAGAATGGCCATCTTTTAAATGATGGATTGGGCTTGTTTTGTTACATTTTAAATAGTCATCATTGTCATGGACCACCAAAACTGAATCTGACCCTTTCTTGTACTTGAATACTGCACCCAAAAAAACGAAACTTATATACACTGATAACGTAAAAAAATATACAGTGTAGTTACCTTAGTAAGCAATTTGGTTATATAATTATGTGTAGACCAAATTAACACTATTAAGAAATTGACCAGTAGTTACCTTAGTAAACATTTTGGTAATCTAATTATGTGTACTACTAAATTAACACAATTAAGAAATTGACCAGTAGTTACCTTAGTAAACATTTTGGTAATATGATTAAGGTTTTACCAAATTATTCTATCAGGGGAGATTTGACAGATAATTATCTAGTAAGCTATTTTTTTACATCGTCATTGCATAAGATTTAAATTTAAAAAATATGTTTGTTATTCTTCTTTTTTCGGGAGGGGTTAAAAAATATTATGATGATTTCGTTGCTTTATATATTTGTTTGTTTTCGTGACTCAACAATCTAAAAGATTTTTTTTAAAATCCAATTAAATAAAGTTTTTTTTTTTTTTTTTGTGTACTCTTCATAACATAAATATTGTTAAGAACTCTAGCATGAAAACAAAAAAATTTATGGCGTAGAACTGAACTCTCATAGATAAGAGAGAATTGGAGATACATTTTATCCCATACTCGATCTCTCGATACAGAATTTAATGTTTTTGAAAAAATAATAACACAAAAATGTCACATATCAATTCGAAGTGTTATGTATAGGTGATCTAGAATTTATAATTTATGATGTTTCTAGGACATAAAAAGTATAATGTTAATTTTGATGAATCACTTACATATATATGGGGGAAAAAACGTATACATTAGCTGAAGTGATATATGATCTTGCTCTAGATTCACAAATCTAAATTTTAAATTCAACGATGAAAAAAGAAAAGGGAAAAAGTTTACCTATAGTGTCATTGACTTGAAAGCGATTCCTTCTGGCCCAATGATCATAAGATTCAGACGGCTTTAAAACCCAACCTTCTTTACCACCAACATAAAACTTATAGCCTTGAGACGAACATATAAAACTCAAAAAGAACACAAAGAAAAAGCCAACAAATGAAAGAGAATCCATATGTGTATATGTAGATCCAAACTAAGAACAAAGAGAGAAATGAGAAAATTCAATTCAGAAGAAAATTAATAAAATTGCAAAATGTGTTGAGATGAAGAAAATAGAGAATTATGTGGGGTTTAAAAAGAGGAAAAAATAATTAACCTGCATTAATTATTATTAGGAAGGTAAATGATATTACCGTTGGATTTATGTGTAAGTATATGGAAAGTCTTAGCTGGGAATTTGTGGCTATTTTTATTCATCATGAATTACCTTAATTAATGAATCAATTGTTTGTTATTTTCCCATAAAAAAACGTTTCCACACACCTGGCCTTTTCATATTTGAGATTTAAAATATATTTTGATGACAAATATTTTCCTTGTTATCAAATGGATTGTTTGACTTGCGGATTAAGTTATTTCGGAATAATAATTTTAGGATTATAATCTTTGAACTATAATTTATCCCACTTGTAAAGTGAGATAATATAACTTGAAGTTTGATGGAGTATTTAGGATTAAATTTATATATTTTGTTTCATTGAACGTATGAATTTATCATATACTAAATTGATATAAAATTATTTGAAGTATAAATTTAATCTTGAAACATTCTATTAATCAAGCAACTGCTGAATAGTATTAATTATAAATACATAATTGTGGTTATTTTTTTTCTCTCAGACGGATTATACTCACAACAATAAAATCGAGAAAACTATTATTAGTAGAAATATTATTACTCATATAGTAAAAGCTTTAATGCATTAGCTGTCCATTTTTTTATTACTACTAGTGGTAATATTAGAAGCTATTTGTGAACTTGTGCATGCATTAGCAGCCAGCAGAGGCAGAGGAAAGTAGAGTGCTAAAGTTATGAGTTCGATCGAATTTAATAATTTTGATTTAAAATTTATATTAGTCTTAAAAGTTAGATATTCAAAAACTATATTCAAAATATTATAAGTTATAATTCTTTTCATGTTAATATAATTTAATAAAAATATATTTTATTAAAGTGATGATCAAAATCTACCTAGTTTGACTGTAAAAAAAAAAATATGGCATGTAAAGGTCAACGAAGAAAATACCAGATACTAATGTAATGTATTTAATTGGATTGAAACTTAAATCTGCACCAAATGCAGTCAAATATTTTCCAATTGTCAACACTTGGGATTTTATTTTCATATGAAACTTATGGAAATAAATGAATGAACTTTCTATTAAAAAAATCTATGTAGAGATAAAAGCTTACTAAGCTGATTAATGTTGAAAAAATCTTCCAAGGTAAAAAGGGTTGACCAATGACCATAATGTTTCCACAAATTGGAGAACTACTATTCACCTCTCTATTTTACTTTTTGATTATTTTAATATTATTTCTATTATATTACTAATTAAGTCTTTATCATTTATAATTATTTTTTAATGTAATATAACATCTAAAAATATATTATTAACAAGTTACTACTTCGACTCAAATTAATATTTTTTCTATTTTATTTTTAAAAAAAGAAATTGTCACTTTAAATATGTAATTTAAAGTTATTTTAATATTATTTATATTATATAAGATTATTAATTAAGTCTCTAATATTTGTAATTATTTTCTAAGTAATATAACGTCTAAAAACATATGATTGATAAGTATACTACTTCCCTCCCGAATTAACAATTTTTTGATTTAATTTTTTAATTTTTTTTTTCATTTTGAATATGTAATTTAAATTATAATTATTTTTCATTATGAAGTATGCACAAAATTTACATGATAATTCAAACAATCTACTTTTATGTTATAGTGATAAATTACTAAACTACATGTTGTGAACCCAATACTGGACAATGAAATAGTTGGGCCAAGTGATCTCGTTGAAGATTTTGGGCTCGAAAGTCAGCTACGCAGAAGCAAAAGGGTGAGACAGCCCAATAAGCTTTTTGAAGAATATGTTTGGCAACCTGGAGGAAACGCAAGTGTCAATAGTTGATAGGTTCTTAGAGGAATATTATTATTATAATAGACAGGTCTAGGCGGAGTAAGAGCATCAAAATTGATATGTCGCAACACTCTCTCCTCTCCACTATCTCTTTGTATCCCTGTCATCATCTTCTTTCTTATAATTTTGCAGTAGTCTCTTGTTTGTAATTTCTTGGCTTCTTATTTTCAATCAAAACACCTAATTACTTGTTATTTAGAGTTTTGTTCACTCCATTAGTGCTTTCATTGTTGTATTCCAATGGTGGATACTAGACTCCAGAAACTCGAAGACACTCAAACAGGCATGGCTAAGGAGTTGTTGGAGCTCCATTCCGCTTTCGGTAACCAACACAAACTGATGCAGGAGGTCCTCTCTCAGGTGGCCTCGATTGGTTCACAATTGAAAGGTTCCGGCACGAAAACCTCTCGTTCAAAATCAACCGATGTTGCTCTGACGGCAAACCCTCATAGTGGTGCGCCCATCGCTCTCCGGCACAAATCGGCTTCGGTGGAGTTGAGTCGATTCTCCGGGGACTAGCCCGCTGTTTGGATTTTTCAGGTTGAAAGGTATTTCAATTTCTACTCTATTCTACAAGAACATCAACTATTTTTAGCTTCCTTCTATCTGGAAGAGGAAGCCCTTGAATGGTATCGGTGGCTCTTTCGAAATAAACAGTTGATTGATTGGTCTCATTTTGCTACTAAGTTAGTCCTTCGATTTCGCAAGAAAGAGTTGGAAAATCCCAAGGGTCGCCTTGCCAAGCTCAAACAGTTCTCCACCGTTGCAGATTACCAGGCACGGTTTGAATCCATAGCTAATGAGACAGAGGACATTTCCAACCCTCTGATGGTCAAGTTATTTTTATCTGGGCTCCGTTAGGATATTAAGACAAATGTATTGGTCCATAAGCCCACATCTCTTGATGAGGCCATCTCGTTGATGCAAACCCATGATCAACACCTTCAGTTAGAGAGATGGCACATAACTCCAGCCCTTGCTAAGACCCAACCTTTGCTTCCAACACCACAATCCAGATCAATTGTTCCTGCACGAAATAACCCCAATGCTTTGTCACGCGTTCCAGTCAAGCGGCTCTCGCCGACGGAGATGCAACAACGTCGAGAAAAGGGGTTGTGTTATTATTGCGATGAGAAATATACAACAAATCATAGGTGCAAAACTCTTCCCCGAATACTCCTTCTTGAAGATGATCTAGACACCCTTTTGTCTGCAACAGAGCAACTCACCTCTGATGAAATGCTAGCAGAGGAGTTACATGCCTTAGAAATGCAGGCTCACTTTACAATATCTTATCATGCTTTGTCTGGTGGTCACTCCCTAACTATTCTGCGTTTCAAGGGGTATGTTCGCGGGTCACCTGTTGTCATATTGCTGGACGGCGGAAGTACCCATAATTTTATTCAACCTCGGTTGGCAAATTTTTTGAATTTTGTAATTTCTCCTACAACTAATTTCTCAGTGGTTGTGGGTAATGGTCAACGTCTCCGGTGTGAGGGTGTGGTTCAGGATGTACCAATTTCAATTCAAGGGACAGACCTCTTGATGGATTTGTACGTTTTGGCCTTTCATGAAGCGGATGTTATTTTTAGGGTTTCATGGCTAGCCACCTTAGGTCTGGTGCTTACTGACCATTCCACATGTCAGATGGAATTTTATTTGGATGGCAAGCAAGTTAAGTGGGTGGGTAATCTTCCTGATGAATTGCAGCCAGCTCAGTTACAAATGTTACGTCGTTACCACACCACTGATGCCGTGGCGGCATGTTTTTGTCTATTCATGGTGCACGATGATGCCACAATTATCGATGTTATACCCCTAAACTTAGAAGTCTTGTTGGAATCGTATTATGGGGTTTTCAACAAACCTCAAGAGGTTCCACCTGCTCGAGACACTGATCATGCCATACATCTCCAACCACAGGTCGGCCCTGTTAATGTCAAACTATATCGCTATCCATACTTTCAGAAACAAATCATGGAACAGTTGGTTTCTGAAATGTTACAGGATAGAGTTATTCAGTCTAGCACGAGCCCGTTCTCGTCGCTTGTTTTATAGGTTAAAAAGAAAGATGGTTCTTGGCGTTTTTGTGTTGATTACAGGGCCTTGAACGCCATCACTGTACGGGACAGATTTCCAATTCCTTCTATTGATGAACTCTTTGATGAGTTGCATGGTGCTCAATTTTTTTCTAAGCTGGACTTATTAGCAGGCTATCATCATATTCGAGTTCGTCCAATCGACATTCCCAAAACTGTCTTTCGAACTCATGATGGCCACTACGAGTTCTTAGTCATGCCATTTGGATTGTTGAATGCTCCGTCCACTTTCCAAGCTACCATGAATGACATCTTTAGGCCATACCTTCGTAAGTTTGTCCTCGTGTTCTTTGACGACATTCTGATTTATAGCTCTACATGGACCTTACATTTGGAACGTTTGGAGTTGGTGCTAAAATTGCTCATACATCACTAGTTGGTTGCTAAGCGTAACAAATGCCATTTTGGGCAGAGTAAGGTTGATTATCTTGGCCACGTCATTACATCAACCGAACTTGCGGTAGATCCATCTAAGATTGATGCCATCCAACAATGGGCCACTCCAAAGTCAATTAAAGAGGTTCGTAGTTTTTTAGGCTTCGCGGGCTACTATCGGCGTTTCATCATACAATTTGCTACTATTGCTAGTCCCCTTTCTGACTTGTTGAAAAATAATGGTTTTCAATGGACAAACCAAGCACAACAGGCTTTTGAGGAGCTAAAATGTCGTCTTAGTTCCACACCTGTCTTGGCATTGCCTAATTTCGACGAGGATTTTCACCTGGAGACAGATGTCTCAGGTGTGGGAATTGGAGCAATCCTCTCACAAAGAAAACATCCAGTTGCTTTTTATAGCCAAAAGTTATGCCCTAGGATGCAAAAGGCCTCAACATATCACAAAGAGATGTATGTCATCACACAAGCAGTGGCAAAGTGGAGGCAATATTTGTTAGGGCGCAAATTCACTATCTTTACTG